AGAGAGTTATTGCACATCCTGAATATCATGCGAGAACAGATCCTGCAACAGGAGAAAAAGATGCTCGTTTCTCGAAGAATGACATTGCTTTAATCATTATTTCTGAACCGTGGAAAACTGAAACGGGTAAGGAAGTTGATGAGCTCACATTTAGTATAAATAGGGTAGTGAGGGGATAACGCAACAATTTCGAAATTCATTCTAAGTAAATAGAAACACCAGCTTGACATCCTTCAAAATAGTTTCTCGATTTTGAGTATCCAAGTCATGTGCTACCAACAAATTCGATTAGATTAAGAGCCAACCTTACATGTTTGTATGAGGGGGCTGCTTTCGCCCATATAAAGAACTTGGAGATTCTATTGATTTTTCTGGATTTAATCTAAGATTATGAATTTCTGCATAATTGTATTTTCATATAATATTCCAGCTTTACTGAGAACACAGGCGTCTCACCTCATTGAATTGCTTCTCGATAAATACAGAATACAGAAAACTAATATAATTTATACCTTCTTTGTAAATAAGCTAGTCACTTTTAATTAGTTTGCTCTCCCATAATAGTCACAGTACATCTTACGTATACCATCACAGCTACTGATAGTGTTGCATTATATTTTATACTCATTTTTAACGAAATATCTCGGAAAGTATCAGCATGGATAATATGGATTTTAGCCAAAACAAACACCTTATTTGATATTTTCACATTTATATGAAGATAGAGAATTTGAGATTTTGCCAGGAGAGGGTGACCTTGGCGTTGCCAGTTCGCCATAAGACGTTTCACCCCTCTGGAGGGCTCGGCGCATTCTTTCTAACATTCGTATTGCACCGTTTTCGCGCTTCTCTCTCGTACACGTTACCTTGTCAGTGATATTTGAATTTCTCTGAATGACTTTCAGCCGTGGTACTCAATGAAGACAAGGATGTTCCCAGTAGGATGCCAGTTATATCTATTGGCTATGGTATAACTGAATTAGGACAGGATACAGATCAACTTAGAATGACTGAGACCAAGACTATGAGCCATAATGATTGCAAATCCATAGAGGTTTACTTGGACGAGGGCTTTTTTTGTACGCATAACGGATATTCTGGAACCTGTTCGGGTGACTCTGGTGGTCCCCTGTTCATGAACAAAGGAGATAACATCGCATTAGTAAGTACACCTTTATCGCTTACGGACCAGACCGGGGCATGATCAACGTCAAGCCTCGTCTGCACACCACCACTACTACTAATGCATTAAGGTTCCATTATGGAACCAAATCTATGAATGTGGTATACAGTGGCATCCTAGAACTGGATCTTACTGATCACGCAACTACCATCGATTATGCAAGTGTAGAGGAATTAGTGGAGGGATCCAACTGAGCCATAAGAGAAACCAGTACAAACACGGGGACAATTATTTTAAAGCGAAGGCGAAGTCTACCCCAAATAAGTTTTATGACAGAAAGTAGTCCCACAAAAAACTATCAAAAACGTGGGCGTATGGCTTGATACCAAATTACATACTCAGATCACGTGAGATACCTGATGTCAGGGTTTGGGTAGAGACGAAGCCTTCATCGCTTCGGAATAATGAACGAGCCTACCTGTCTGTACTGTGGTGAAAATGATGATGCAGAACACACCATCTTCGTGTGCAGAAGATGAGTAGATGAAAGGCAATCCCTCTTCAATAGCAAAAGAACTGACAACCCTTGAAACGATAATCCAGTGTCGCTACATTTGCTTACTAACAAGAGAAGGGAGCCAGATGGCTGACCTGGAAGCACTTTTCTATGACATCAATTAGCTTAACACTGTCATAAGATAACCCACAGCAACGAAGAAATGCTAACGCGGTTCCGCTGTTGCGCGTAGAGGAGGCAACTGTCCCAAAAATAAGTTCCTACAAACGCCCTAAACCAAAGTAGAGTCTAAACACAATTACCAATCATGTTGCAAATCGATCGATGGAATAAAAGGTTAAACGTTTTATTTTCAGGTTGGAATAACAAGCTTTGGGCACTTTGATCATTCCACGAACACATGTCTAGTTGAAGAATTCCCAACTGCTTTCACCAACGTAGCTTACTATTTCAGATGGATAAAAGATACATTGAAAGCTGCGCAATAGTGGTGAATACTACAGTGGCCGCGTAATTAATATGTACCTTCACAATAAATGAACTGTTTCCGAACTACTTGCATTTTTAGTCACGCCATTTCCAGCAAGTGCGTCATATTTAAGCGTATGGGAACTACAGCACATCAAGAATGTCATTGGTGGCGTTCTCTAATCCACACCACTAGTGAAAAAACTGAACCAAGAGATGAAGCGTCTAGTCGCTGGCAGTAGGAGCTAGATGTATAATGTACACCTAGGTACACATACTTCCAACCATTATTCGAAAATGTGTGGCGACTGCGTGGGCAACGAGTGACAAAACGCAGCAACAAGATAGTCATTTTATCTTTGTGCTACGTAAATTTGATCCTATATGAGCAAAATACTTGAGTGGTACAAAATGAACGACATTGTAGAATACCACTATTCATTGTTTAAATATGATTATTTACCCGTTTATTAAGCTTATCAATATATATGTTTAAAATCAAGTACTTTTCCTGTAGCTCTAAAGATATCCAGGGTATTTCCAATATATAAAAACGGGTCTGCTGACGAAGTTTCGAACTACCGTCCTATGTCACTACTACCCTACTCCGCTAAAATGTTTGAAATTCTACGGAAAGACTAAGTGAGTAGTTTTATCGAAACCAATAATTTTCTAAATTGTTATCTATACAGCTTTAGAGGCTTATCAGCCTTTATTGCAATAATAGCTATTTATTATACAAGGGGAAAATGTTAAAATCTAGTATTTTTTCCGCGTATAATACACAATTATTTTCTATGACGGGAAAAACGACGATCTAATATTGAAAAATTATATTATTAAAATATTTAGGTCAGAAAATTATCGATGTCAAATTTGAATTTTGAAATTAGTAGGCTATGTTGTACTTATAGCGACAATTAGACCTGCGCTGCTAAGGAAATTTTTAAAGTAATCAGATGTCAATTTAATTTTAGATTTGATTTCAAAATTGTGAACTTATTGGTTGTTTAGAAGTTACTATAAAGTAAAAAATGTCTGATTCCGAGTTTTCTTTGACTCCACCTGAATTAGTAGAAGTAGGCAAAGTAGCGTCACAAAAATTATTGCCAGCTAAATCGTGGATATACAATATCCGGGAAAAAAGTACTCAATTTTTTACCGGGTAAAAAAGTAATTTGATGAAAAGTTTCATTTTGTTGCCTGACAACAGAGATAAAATGTCAAACTTTTTTCTCGTCACAGAAAAACAGTTTTATTATAATAATAATAATCCGGCTTTATTTGTACAAAGTATAAAAAGGCGAAGTGTCGCTAAAAAGCGTTTTTCAACTTAACCCAACAAATATTGATGTATATTTTCTAATCCCAATGAAATTAAGAGTTAAAAAAAAACCTGTAACGAGTCCTTATTCATGGCCATGGTCTACTTACTGGGCAATGGAATCAGAGATAAAATTCTTCAATCTTTTTTTGAAATTCTTTATCGAGTAGTGAGTGAACTCGGTAGGCAACGCGTTGTATAGCTTGATAGCAGTATATACGTACGACCTTTTAAATAGAGATGTTGAATATCTCGGGATAACCAAAATATGCTTATTCTTTGTGTTCAGTTGATTAACATCTGAGTATCTGATAAATTTGGTTGATAGATATGGAGGGGCTTGTGTTGTGATTACCTTATGGGTCAAGGTCAATACATGCATTTTTTGTAGCTCTTCTATTTTTTGAACACCCAGCTCACGATATTTATGTGACACTGTCTCAAATTTTCTCACTCCACAAGCAAATCTGAGACACGCATTTTGAATAGTCTGAAGTCTCCTTATCTCAATCGATCTTAGTGCAGGCCCATAAATACAGTCACAGTAGTGAATTCTAGACCATATTAAGGTTTCGCACAACTTCAGCTTGAGACCAGTATTCATACTTTTCCTATGAGGAAATAATTGCTTCAAGACACCGAATGATGTTCGGCACAGTTGACTAACGTGTTTTTCAAACTTCAAATCAGAATCAATCCAGAGTCCTAAATTCTTGCACTCATTTTTTATAGGGATCGGTTGATCTAAAATGCGCAATGATAGTAATGGTTTTGCCTGACTTTTTTTGATTTTTGGTCCAAATATAACTGCGGATGATCTTAACGGGTTAATTTTCAGATTATGGGCACAAGATACGTTAGATAAATTTATTAAATCATTATTAATCAAATGTGCGGCATTTTTTAAATCTTTAATATCGAAGCCAAAGTACAATTGAGTGTCGTCAGCATAGTGATGAATACTGCAGTGTTCAACGTACTCGTGGAAGTCAGAAATGTAAACTGAGAACAATAATGGTCCCAGAATGGAACCCTGTGGTACCCCTAGTTTAACTGGTATCTCCTCCGAGATACTTGACGCAATCACAACCATCTGACTCCTGTCAGTGAAATAACTTAATACAAAATTAATTGCAGATTCCGAAAAACCAAAGTATATAAGCTTTTTCACAAGAATAGATGGTTCCAGGGTATCAAAAGCCTTTGTATAATCAAGCAACACTAAGCATGCTAAATTTCCTTGATCCACACATCTGATTAAGTCATCAGTGATGTTAGCCAGAACTGTTGTTGCGCTGTGGTTTTTCCTGAAACCCGATTGGATTTCAGGAATGATACCATTAGAGAAGACGTAGTCAGATACCTGATGTTGCATGGCTAGTTCTAATAACTTGGAAAATACTGGTAGTATATTTATCGGCCTCAGATGTGAAATATCTGTAGCGTTACTTATTTTAGCTAGGGGGAGAACATTTGCTTTTTTCCAACAGTTGGGGAAGTTTGATGATGCAATTGCATAGTTGATGATGAAATTTATATGTTCAATTAGCAAATCGAATATGATTGTTAGCATATTTAGGTTGATTCCGTCAACACCCAAGGCATTACTTTTGATACTTCGGAAAAATCCCATAACATCGTGGCAAGTTATTTGGGAGAATGTGAATTGTCTGGCTTGCTGGTTGGTGTTATATTTTTCCAGCAGTTTCAATTGTAACTCAGACTTAACAATGGTAGGTAAACTAGAAAAATACTTATTTATGTCATTAACGTCCTGTAGATGGCCAGGTAACTCTTTCAAAATCTTATTGACACATGGTTTTGAAATATATTGACAAATTTCTTCGATCTGAGCAAAGCCTTCGACTACCATATTGCCCAATTGATCCTTCTGTTATAGTTCTTCTGAAATCTTATCCAGATCAAAGGTAACAGCTCGTCGAATACAGTGGTTGTACATCTACAGTCAGCACAGTTTTGCATGGCGTGCCACACATATCTGTCCTGGACTCTTTGCAGTTCTTGCTTTATATAAACGACCTACCAAATTGTCTTTGTAATAGTATGAACATTAAGCTCATTGTTTATGCTGATGACACCACTCTAGTCTCAATCCACAATTCATTTAAATAGTATTCAGGATTGATTCATAGCTAACAAATTAACTTTAAATTCAAACAAATCTCAATCTATGACAATCATACTCCGAAATATTGATCAGAGTAGTGATCACGAAGACGTAGTGAAGTTTATCGGTGTGTATTTCCGTTCCTCTTTGAAATGTTACCAAATCCTAAAAAAGAGTAATTTATTTATTTCCCAATTTAAAACACTCAGTTCCACTTAACGTCCTGTTGATCAGGGACCATGCGTGCTTCAGCATCAAAATGAGATAATCGCACGCCCTTCTGGCATGGGGCCACTCTCCGCTCAAGTAAAGAGTATGTTCCCTGCAGAGGCATGTATCCGATATATAGCAAATCTAAAATATAGAGATCCTTGTCAAGCTGAGCTTATCAAACGACAGATCATGACATTACCTGGCGGATACAAGAGAAGAGGAATTAACTACCATAGCGTAAAATTTTATAATAATTCACCTAGGGAACTAAGGCAAACAATTAATTCTGTAATGCTGCGAAAAATTTGCTCTTGTCGAAAGCTTTCTCCTCCACTGACGAGTTCCACAATCATAATTTCCTCACGGATATCCTATAGCTTTAACTGTTATATTTAATGCTACATCTTCTTTCTTTTTTCTTTTTCATTAAGTGATGACACTGATCTTTTAAATTTTTGTTTTCAATATAAACACAGTGTTATTATATGCCAGATCGAACACTACGTTGCTAGTCTGGACCCTTAATTAACAGACCTCGTATTGTTTGTCATTTATTTTCTTCTTGCTACCAAGCCTCGCTGTAAGCATGTTTTGTGTAATAACACGAATAAAAGATTATTATTATTATCATTAGTATTATTATTATTATACTAAGTGACATATAAATCCGAACACCCAGTTTAAATGGTTTTATTTTAATAAAAGTTGGTGAATGTAAGATGAATTACTGTAAATAACAAGTGAAAAAATTTTCAGCCTTATCAGTTGGACATTCCAGTTTTTATACTGCTTTTTTTAATTCACTAACGCTCTAAAAATGAATATTTCAGCCGCAGTAAAGAATCAACGTTGGCGGATTTTGGTTCTTGACATCCTTTACGATCGGTTACGATGCCTAGAGTACGGAGACCTGTACGATTTCGTCAACTTAGTGAGTTTGATAGGGGCCGTATAGTGGGACTTCGGGAAGCTGGACTTTCTTTCCGGGCAATTGCAATTAGAGTGCAAAGAAGTGTAGACACTGTGGTTAGGTGTTGTCAGGCATGGCTTCGAGAAGGCCGTACGCAAAGAGCTAGGGGCACTGGACGCCGCCGTAGAACAACAGACCGAGAAGATCGCCGCCTAAGATTATTGACCTTAAGGGACCGTTTCTCCACTACCAGGTCCATTGCAAATGAATGGTTTGCAGAACACGGAAGACCTATTGGCATGCGAAGTGTTTACCGACGAATGAGAAGTTTTGGCTTGTTTTCATACCGGCCACACTGGGTCCTCCCTTTAACTCGAGAACACCGACGTAGTCGCCTTGAGTGGTGCAGACAACGGTCACTCAGGGATCAGGAATGGAACAGTATTGTCTTTAGTGACGAGTCTCGATTTTGTTTAGGCATGCACGATGGTCGTGCCAGGGTTAGAAGGCGACGTGGTGAAAGGAGGAATCCACAGTTTTTTGTTGAAAGACATGTTCATCACACTGTTCGAGTTATGGTTTGGGGTGCTATAGCTTATGATTCGAGGTCACCTTTAATCTTCATCAGAGGTAACATGAACGCGCAGCGTTATATCCACGAAGTTCTAGAACCCCATCTTTTACCCTATCTTGACACCCTGGCAGATCCAACTTTCCAACAAGATAATGCCCGACCACATGTTGCAAGAGTCACAATAGACTTCTTTCAACATAATGATGTCACATTGTTACCATGGCCACCAACATCTCCCGACTTATCCCCAATTGAGCACATGTGGGATATGATGGGTAGGAGATTGCTCAATTTGCAACGTCCTCCCCACACTCTAGAAGCACTTCGAGAGGAGTTGATGAATGCCTGGAATGAGATACCACAGGAGGACATTGACCACCTGATCAGAAGCATGCCTAGGCGCGTTGGAGAATGCGTAGCACATCAGGGTGCATCGACACATTATTAAAGGTCAAAGGGCTTTAAAGCAGTGCAATCATTTTGAAATTTTTATCATTTACTTATTATGCTTCATTAAGTACTTATACAAAATTCTATGAAAATAAAACCATTTAAACTGGGTGTTCGGATTTATATGTCACTTAGTATATTATCCATAAATTATCTACTGTTGACGTCACATAAATGGCACAGTACCTTCAGATAGTATACGTTAATCAATGTATGTGTGCAATACTTAATGCACAAATTTACGCAACACTCAGTATGGTCCATTAATTCACAAAACGGCAGACCTGGAAAATTCGGTTCAAAGTGTTTGCAACGACTTCAAACAGTTCTAGCCATGGCTGTTCCACAGAGTTACTACTAGAGGCGACAGCCCGTCAAGAATCAGGTACGTTGCGTTTGGTAAGGTTTCATGCAAACAATAGTTTTGACAAGATAGGTTACACAATAAAAGTTGTGTGATGGGTACTGTTGGAGCTCTTGTACATGTGCCCTACGGTATAACAAGTATTACACAGTTCGGACATCATAGGGAGTGTAAATGGCAGGGCCTTAGTGTTACCTGACGAGGATCAGTCGTCATACGTAATTACGTAAAAAACCTATATAATAAAATAATAAAAATAAAATATAATGAATAACCGATCAAATGCCAATCTGTTACCTATCTAGTTGGTAGCGTGCAAATAGTTCATTCCGCATGAAGTGAACGACAGCTAATCCCTAGTTGACATCTTGTAGCAAAACCTATATGTCATAAAAACCTAAATAATGTAAAAAACGACCTAATGTTACTTTTCAAGTTACTTATTACCCATGCCGATCAGAACGCTACGTCATTTGTGCGAATTGGCGAATCGAGGCAGAGGTAGTCACGTTATAAGTCGAACATCTTCATTAGATAGGCATCATTAAGCCAGTGTTGCCATTTATACTACGTATGATGACAGGTTGATGGTAACATACTGTATGACATTTTAAGGGTCGCTGTACTACTTACATTGGAAACGTTTATACACCCTAGGGAAGCTCCTATCTTCCTCACTTATTTTAAATATAATAAAAGCATCGACATGATAAATATTACAAAGGAACGAATAATAGTATTTTCGGCAAAGCCTGACGCGTGTTGTGTATGACTGAACTGTGATATTCCGAATTATTTGCGACATGTAATGGATATGGTGAATCTGGGGTGAGAACAATGAGAGCAGTGGCAATATTACTTTCTGTGCGAAAATGAGGGGGATCTGAGGTTATTAGCTTCCGACGCAAGCTGTTAGGAAATGCGAACAAATGGTTCAGAAAGCTGGGTGAGCTCAGCCTTGAGACAGGACAGGGCTTAAAATTATTTGAGATAGATATGACTGGGATTACTCATACTATACCTTCTGTTTGGACAAGATAATGGTAAGGTTCTATTAGGATTTATATGGTGTATCAATAAAAATTTGTATTTGAACAACTCTAAATGCCGCAGTTAAATCTTCACCGGGAAAGTCAAGTTTTTAATGTACGCATATAAAATGAATGATTCTATATTGGAAAGTTGTAAAATTTTATTATCCCTATGCTCGTTAAGTTATTTTCAGTGCTTGTTATAAGTAAAGTAGAAAACGGTGCAATGATTTGGAGCCCAATCTATGAACTCTACAAAAATAATATTGAAAAAGTGCAAAAGAAATTTCTGAAATATATATGCTAAAAGAGTGATGGTGTCTATCCTCCAAGAGGATATAACTACTCATTATTATTGAATAGGTTTGGTATCCCTTCTTTGAAAAAGCTCAGAGAGCAGGCGCAGGCGTCGATCATATTTTTTATACAAATTACTGCATGGTAACATCGACTGTCCTGTTTTGCTATCGCAAATAGATTTTCTGGTACCTAGATTGATTTCCAAGAATAAAGCTTCCTTTTTCTGGAAAGAGGGCACGGCAAGTCTTTTATCTAAAGCACCAATAAACTTTATGCGCTATAATGCGAATAGGATTGGGAATTTTTGTGATTACTTCTGTTGTGGATTTCAGGACTCAATAAGTGCTATATGGTCACATCTTTGACTTTTGCGCCCCTTTCTATAGACGTTTTCGTTTGGTATATATTTATGTGTGAATATAGCTTTTTCACTATTATGTATTGATCATATTCATAGTTTCTTTTCTCTCTACTTGAAGCGCCTTTCTCTTTTTGTATTTTTTCTTAATGGCACACCGACAGCGTAAATTAAACCATTGCACTATGTATTGGTCTCTAAATGGTATCTGTATTGATGGGCAATAAATGCTTTATTATTATACGTAGGTTATATTTTGGTGTTTTTAACCCTGAGGTTGGCATTATAATAAGTTATTACCATATATTGTCACGTGCCAAAATCGCGTAACCTTTTTTTTACTACTTTGATCAATTATCAGTAATTTGAATATCTTTTTATTGATTATAGAGTACCGATTCCTCAGACAAACCCTTTTCAATGGTTTTCTTTTGGTAAATTTCATAGTTTATTCATTGTATAATTTCACACGTATTGTATCTTTCTTCCTCAGTGACTCAGTATTGTGTTGACATTTTTTGGTCACTAACGTTATAGTATTATTAACGACTATCTTTGAAATTTCCTCCTAAAAT